TGGGTTCTCTATTCTATTCCATTGATCTATATTTCTGTTCTTGTGCCAGTACCAAGCTGTTTTAAGAACATTGGCTTTGTAATACAGCTTGATATCTGGTATTGAGATTCCACCTACTTTGTTCTTCTTTCTCAGGATTGCTGCAACTATTCAAGGTTTTTTTTTATTCCAGATGAATTTTTGGAGCGTTCGTTCTAGATCTGTGAAATATGCCGTTGGTAATTTAATGGGGATTGCACTGAATCTATAGATTGCTTTGGGTAGTATGGACATTTTGATGATGTTTATTCTACCAATCCATGAACACGGTATGTTCTTTCATCTGTTTATGTCTTCCTCTATCTGTTTTTTCAGTGTCCTGTAGTTTTTTGCATATAAGTCTTTTACCTCCTTAGTTAAATTTATTCCTAGGTATCTTAATTTTTTTGGTGCGATGTTAAATGGAATTGCTTTTTTTAGTCTCACTTTCTGTAAGTTCATGATTGGTGTAAAAAAATGCCATAGATTTCTTGGCATTAATTTTGTATCCTGCTATGTTGACAAATTCATTTAGTAAGTCTAATTATTTTTTGATGGAGTCTTTAGGGTTCTTTTCCACATTGGAAAAGAAGAAGTAAAACTGTCCTTATTCACAGATGACATGATACTATAAATAAATAAAAACCCCCAAATTTTCTATAAATAAATAGAAAACCCCAAAGACTCCATAAAAAAACTACTAGACCTAATAAATGAATTCAGCAATGTCGCAGGATTCAAAATTAACACCCAGAAATCTATGGTCTTTTTATACACCAATAATGAACTCACAAAAAAAGAAACTAAAAAAAAATCTCATTTTTTTATCATTGCACCAAAAAAATTAAGATTCCTAGTAATAAACTTAACCAAGGAGGTAAAAAACCTGTGCCCAGGGAAAACTACAGCACATAGATAAAAGAGATAAAGGAAGACGTAAACAAATGGAAGAACATACCATGTTCATGGATTGGTAGAATAAACATCATTAAAATGTCCATACTACCCAAAGCAATCTACAGATTCAATGCAATCCCCATTAAAATACCAACATCATATTTCAAAGATCTAGAACAAACTCTCCAAAAATTCATCTGGAATAAGAAAGGACCCCGAATAGCCATGGCAATCCTGAGAAAGAACAAAGTTGGAAGGATCACAATACCAGATATCAAGCTATATTACCAAGGCACAGTTCTCAAAACTGCCTGGTACTGGCACAAGAACAGACAGATAGACCAATGGAACAGAAGAGAGAACTCAGAAATCAACCCAAGCCATTATGCTCAATTAATATTTGACAAAGGAGGCAAGAGCATACAATGGAGTCACAACAGTCTCTTCTGTAAATGGTGCTGGGAAATATGGTCAGATACATGCAAAAAAAATTGAAACTAGATCTTTAACTTACACCATACACAAAAACAAACTCAAAATGGCTAAAGGACTTAATGTAAGAAGGGAAACCATAAAAATCCTAGAAGACTCCATAGGTATCAAAATAGCAGACATATGTTGTAGCAATATCTTTACCAACACTGCTCCTAGATCATTGAGAATAAGGAGAAAATAAACAAAATAAAAAGCTTTCACACAGAAAAAGAAACCATCAACAAAACAACAATAAAGCCCACTTCATGGGAGAACATATTTGCCTATGATATTTCAGATAAGGGTTTAATCTCCAAAATTTACAGAGAAAAACTAAGTGAATGCATACAGTGTACATAGCATTTTATATCCACGGCAATTTTGAAAAGTAGCCAAGTCAAAATACTACGATGTTCTAGGTATTAGCATCATCAAATTCCTCTCTGCAGTTCTTCCATTTTTTCTGCCTCCACCAGCTGGCAAATTGGTTCCCCCGTGTAGGCTACATAAAGAATTAAATTAGCCTCCCTTAATTTCTCCTTTGCTGCACAAAGAAGATGAAAATGAGAGTTCTGAATGATATCCATTAAAGTCATATTTATTCAATGTTGAATGAGCTGTTGGAGGACTCTGCAGGGTTGGAGACTGGTAGGAGCCTCTGCAAACCCACTGCCGGTAGCACATTAGCCCAGACCTTTTGTGCCTCTGTTCTTGCAGCTGAAGATAGGGTTGACCCCAACTGAATGGAAGCCCTGACTTCACTATTAAGATCTGTGCCCAGCAAATTAACAAGGCTAACATCATAATGTAAAAACCAGATTACTTCCATTGGCCAAAGTATTAGTATGTCTTGTATATTCCTATCATATCCTGATTTCTACCAGTCTAGAGGTACAAATTAATTTATATTAATAGGTGTGGGGGGCAGGGTTAGAGAGCAATCAAAGGACTTGTATGTATGCATATTAGCATAACCAGTGGACACAGACACTGGGGTGGTGGGAATGGCTGGGGGGTTGGGGGGTCAATTGGGGAAAAAGGAGACATATGTAAAAGTTTAGACAATAAATAAAAACAAAATAAAAATAAATAAAAGTACCATCAATAAATAAAAAAACAAGTGCTAGTGAGGATGTAGAGAAAAGAGAACCCCACTGCACCGCTTGTGGAAATGCAGACTGGTGCAGCCACTGTGAAAAACAGCATGGAATTTCATCAAAAAATTAAAATGGAACTGCCCTTTGACCCAGGGATACCACTTTTAGTAATATATCCTAAAAATCCTGAAACGCCAAATCAAAAAAATATATGCATCCCTTTGCTCATAGCAGCATTATTTGCAATAGCCAAGATCTGGAAACAACCCAAGTACCCATAAGTAGATCAATGGATAAAAAAGGCTGTGGTATATTTTTACAATAGAATACAATGCAGCCATAAAAAATAAAGAATTCTTACCTTTTTCAATAGCATGGATGGACCTGGAGAGTACTATGTTAAGTGAGATAAGCCAGTGGGTGAAAAACAAATACCATACGATTTCACTTATATGTGGAATCTAATGTACAAAATAAACTTATCAGAAAATAAAAACAGAGGCATGAGTACATGGAACAGATTAACAGCTGTCATAGGGGAGTGGTAGGGGAGATTGGATGAAAGAAGGTAAAGGGATTAGCCAAGAAACATATATGCATAGCTCATAAACATAGACAACAGTGTGGTGATGACCAGCGGGAAGGGTGGGTGTGGGTATGGAGGAGATGGGTATAGGGAGGGGAGAGGGAATGGGGACATCTGTAATAGTGTAAACAATAAAAATAAAACAGTAAAAAAATAGTAGTCTCTATAAAACTTCCGATCTTAAATTACACATTATTAATCTCTGTCTGTAAGAGAACCATGTTTTTGTGACTTCAGTCTCTTCCAAAACTCATCTCTCACACAGAAACTTCCCAAACCACACGAAGAATTAAGGGTATAAGGCATTTCCCCTTATAACCAGTCTTTTCTAGAAACACTATTTTCTACCACTTTCTAATTCTTCAGGATATTCTTCCACAATTCTCTACATTTGCTGTTTTCATTACTGACTCTTAAAAACACCTTTCCTCAATTTATAAAACAATAAATTCCACCTATCTTTTGAGGTCATACTCAAGTTTCACCTCCTCCCATATGTCTTCCCACACAATTTCAGCCCCCAATAATTCTTTCTTCCTCTGAAGACCTACTGTCATAGATGATTATATTTTGCTCCTGATTGAACTAGGCTATGGTAAGTGATTCAGGTTTGCCTTGCTGACTCCAAGTAACCTCTATTTGAGAAAAATATTTCTTCTATTTCTTAATAATATCTCCTCTGTAGATTGTAGGGTAAAGGTCTCACTCTTCTCTGCTTTGTTTATAGACCTTGCAGCCCCTTTGACAGAGATATTAAAAATTATTTATACCTGAAATTGGTACTGGCATCTGCATCAGAAGGATGGCAACAAAATACATGCACTCCATTATAAGTCAGATAAGAAGATGAGGAAATTCAATGACTCTAAAAAAAAAAAAAGAATATGTTGATGTGCATTAGTGAACAGTAACTGAACAAAGGGACTATTTCCAACTCTTAACCTTTAGAAATTTGTTCTTTGTGATTTAAAAAATAGTAATAATATTCCTATATGCCTCAATGTCACTGAGTTTCTCACTGTTGCTCAGATGCTCTTGTTCTCTTCAACTGCTACTAAATGAACTTAGTGGAAGAAGCAATAAATCCGAGGTGCATTCTCTGATATACAAGAGTTTGGCTCCATGAATGTTGAATCTAGGTTTAGTTTCTATCAAATCACAGGGAGCTGCTTCCTTGCATGGAGATCAACCAGGGATAGATCATAATTCTAATGGAGCTACATAAGAGGTTGGAGAGATAGAAATCAGAATTGTGGCATCATAGAATCAAAAAAATGGTCTAATGAGATTGAGCTCTAAATAGAGGTCATCCACAGAGAGAAAGTTCTTCTGCCTAGCATAGAAGTGGGGGAATTAAAGAAATCAACCTGTTAAGCCAAATTGCCATGGAATATGCCAAAGGGAACTGGCACGTTCCATATAAAATCTGAGAAATTTTCTTCTACCCTATAAATATTAACTCTATGACTAAGAAAATAAATTATAAATTACTGGTTTCATATTTCCTTTCTATATTGGATAAGTTTTGAATATGCACTAATTGCAGATATGAGAAGGTGAGAGATGAGGAAATGCTAAATCATGAACATTAAAATACCAAGTCAAATAAGTAGAATTTTAACTTAAGGAAAAATTAAGAATACTGAAGAAGGGCCTAGGCCATATCTGCACTTTATTTTATTTCTATTATGTTTTATTCCCCACACAAAGACATACTTAGTGAGAAGAAGAGAGAGAGAGAGAGAGAGAGAAACATTAATGTGAAAGAGAAACATTAATTGGTTGCCTTCCATACATGCCCCAAGTGGGGATCTAACCCGAAACCCAGGTATGTGTCCTGTCAGGAATCAAACCAGCAACCTTTCAGTGCACAGTGCACAGGACAATATCCAACAAACTGAACCACTCTGGCCAGGCTATATCTGCATTTTGGAAATATCACTTTAGTAGTAGTGGAGACACTTATTTGAAAAGAAGTAAATTGAGAATAAGGAGATCAATTAAGCAATAAAAAACAGTGGTGATGGGAAAGATGAAAAATTACATATATGAAATTATTTATAACTTCAATATGATTAATTAATCATTAAATAAAACAAAAATAATATCCACACAATAAAATATAACAACAGACCCACCAAAATAGCTTAAATCCTATATAATAAAAGGCTAATATGCAAATTGACCAAACGGCCAAACAACCGGTCGCTATGACACACACGGACCACCAGGGGGCAGACACTCAATGTAGCAGCTGCCCCCCAGTGGTCAGTGCGCTCCCACAGGACGAACACTGCTCAGCCAGAAGCTGGGCTCAAGGCTGGCAAGTGCAGCAGCGGTGGCAGGAGCCTCTTCTGCCTCCATGGCAGCACTAAGAATGTCCGACTGGTGGCTTAGGCTGCTCCCCATGGGGAGCGGGTCTAAGTTGTCAGTCAGACATCCTATGAGGGCTCCGGACTACAAGAAGGCACAGGCTGGGTTGAGGGACCCCCCAAGTGCATGAATTTTTTTGCCCTGGGTCTCTAGTTAAAAAATATATATGGAGAACACAGAATGTTGGCAAGGATATGAAATAACCCAGCTAGCACACTCACACACTGTAAAGGGCAATATAAAATAATAAAACCACATTGAAAACTTTAGGCAGTATCTACTAATGCATATATCATTCTTAGAAATATAGCCATTAGAAATGTAGACATATATTTACAAAAAATATGTACTAGAATATTCCTAACACTATTCATAATAACCTCAAATAGGTAATGTTCAAAGTGTCCATAACAGTAGAATGGATAAATAAATAAATTATATTCCATTCATACAATAGAATTATCTAAGACAGAAATGAACAATCTACAATGCAACAATATGGTCAGATCTTACAAACATGATATTAGGCAAAGGAGGCCATTCTTAAAGGGTACATGCTACATAATTTCTGATCCCACTTATATAAGGAAGGTATATAAAAAATAGGTACACACAAAAATATCCATGCTGTTAGAAGTTAAAATTATGTTACTGTAACAGAGGGAGTGGATAAGTGTCTATAAGAGAGCACAAGGATGATTCAGGCTATATGGATGTGCTTAGATTTCAGAAATTGGTCAAATAGTATAATCCAATAAATTTATGTCTTTTTAGGTATTATATAGTCTAATTCAAATAAAAAATACAGAAATTACTATGTTTATTGATTTAAACACTCAATATTATGAAAAGAACAATTCATTCCAAATTGATCTTTAAATAAAGACATAATCATCAATGTAAAATATTCAGTAGAATTTTGATGGGGATTGCTTTGGAAAATATAGCCATTTTAATGTTCTTTCTTCCTATCTATGAACATGGAATATATTTCCATTTCTTTGTGTCTTCTTCAATCTCTTTTAATAATATCTTGTACTTTTCAATGCATAGGTTTCTCACCTACATCACAGAAATACAAAGGATCATATAAAAATACTGTGAAAGACTATATGCTACAAAATTCAATAACCTCAAAGGAATAGATACATTCCTAGAAATACATAACCTTCCTAGACTGAATCATGAAGAACTGGTAAATAGTAGAGATTAAAAATGGTGGTGGAGTAAGTGGATGCTGCATGGACATGCTCCCAGGAATGAACTGGAATTACAACTAAAATACAGAAAAACTTCCTGAATATTTAATGAATGACTCACTGGAGAGAACCCTGATACTTGAGGACCCAAAGTGGAGACCACATTGAGACTGGTTAGAGGGGTGGAGGCATGAAAGGGCTGGTTGGGCATCAACAGACAGCAACTGAAGTTCTGGAGAAATATCTCAGCTGTGGGGGATTCCCACTGAGAACTCTGAGGTGAAATTGCCAAGCCAGGCCCCCACCAGTAGAGAGCACCATAACTGAGAAGGATACTCACATAACATCTGGCTGTGAAAAGCAGCAGAGCTGCTACCTGCCAGGGAGAGATAGCTGAAAATTCAGGCACCCTTTTAAAGGGCCAATGCACAAAATTCCCTGTGGTGCCACCTATCTTATGCTCCAGCAGAGGGAGGGCAGAGTGGGCTGGAGCTTGGTGAGCAGAAGCTAGGTTCAAGGACTCTGGGGTTAGAGCTCAGAAGGCAGACACCCCAGTTTCCTGTGCAGAGTCATTGCCTCATGCTGAGGAGGACATCTTTCTCATGAAGGCATTAGCTATACCCCAAGCTGACCCACTCTATTGGAAAACAACTGGCCTCACAGTGAGAAGTTCCTGAGGCCACTTAAGAGACTAAAAGTAGCAGTTAGCCTCCAGGCAGAATCAACTGTTGAAAAAAACAACAACAAAACTCTAGCTACACCTGAGGACAACTGCCTGAGGGGAATCCAAATCAGAAGCCTATCAATATGCAGGCAGAGACAGTCTCTGAAGGCTTTGAGTCTTTGCCTGATCTAATTAGCCAGAAACAGCTTTTGACACTGTCCTGCACTAGAGATTGAGAGGCATAGGAGATCTACCTAATACATAGTCACAAACCCAAGCAGGCAGCCAAAATGAGGAGACAAATAAACAATCCAAAATAAAAGAACAAAAGAATTCTCCAGAAGAAGAAATAAATGAAGTGGAGATAAAAAATTTGTCTGAAACAGAGTTCAGAGAAATGATGGTAAACATGCTCAACAGCATGAGAAAAGATATAGTCACTATGAAAAAAGAACAGTCTGAGATAAAGAATGACATAACACAAATAAATAACACACTGGAAGGAATACACAACAGATTAGGAGAAGCTGAGGATTAAATCAATGATTTAGAAGACAGGGTTAAAAAATCGCTCAACCAGAGGACCAAAAAGAAAAAAAAAACAATTAAAAAACAGGAGGACAGATTAAGGGAGCTGTGGGACAACGTGAATTGTAACAATATTATAATAGCAGGTGTATCAGAAGGGGCAGAAAGGGAGAAAGGGATAGGGAATGTGTTTGAAGAAATAATGGCAGAAAACTTCCCTAACCTGGTAAAGAAAAAAGTTACACAAGTTCAGGAGGCACAGAGAACCCCAAGCAAGAAAAATCCATACAGACCCATGCTCAGACGCATCATAATTAAAATGCCAAAAATTAAAGATCAAGAGAGAAACTTAAAGGCAGCAAGAGGAACACAATTTTTTTACCTACAAAGGAGCTCCCATAAGGCTGACAACTGATTTCTCATCAGAAACTCTATAGGCCAGAAGGGAATGGCATGAAGTACTCAAAGTAATGGAAAGCAAGGATCTGAAATCAATATTACTATATCCAGCAAGACTATCATTTAAAATAGTCAAATAAAGAGCTTCCCAGACAAGAAAAAGGCTAAAGGAGTACATCACCACCAAGCCAGAATTACAAGAAATGCTAAAGGAACTGCTATAATGAGAAGAAGAAACAGAGAAAGAAAGCTAGACATACAGAATTAAAATGACAATAAATAAGTAAGTACCTATCAATAATAACCCTAAATGTAAATAGATTAAATGCTCCAATCAAAAGGCATAGTGTAGCTGAATGGATACCAAAACATGACCCAACTATATGCTATCTACAAGAGACCCACCTCAAAACAAAAGACACACAGGAGCCCTGACCGGTTTGGCTCAGTGGATAGAGCGTCGGCCTGCAGACTGAAGGGTCCTGGGTTTGATTCCTGTCAAGGGCATGTGCCTTGGTTGCAGGCACATCTCTAGTTGGGGGTGTGCAGGAGGTGGCTGGTCAGTGTTTCTCTCTCATGGATGTTTCTAGCTCTATCCCTCTTCCTTCCTCTCTGTAAAAAAAAGCAATAAAATATATATTTTTTAAAAAGACACACAGGAAGAGAGTGAGGGGATAGAAATTTTTTTTTCCATGCAAATGG